TCTTAATGCTTGTGTCAATACAACAAAATTCGACTAAGTGGTCACATTGGCCAGGTGGTCCTTATGTTGACTGTAGACTGCTTGAATCTACAGGTTTGACTGTAGATTGATGCAGTAGCTGGATATTGTCGAGTCAACTGAACAAGCCCTGCCTATTCAACCACCACACACACACACACGCACACAGTGTGGTTTCGAAGAACGATGTCGGAGGAATTCAGATCGCCTATCTCCTTGCAGGGGGTGAAATTGGAAGCAGTGTTATTTACAAAACAATGGAGTTTAGCCCAACTGTTTCAGGAATGTTGTTGTAACTCAAGTGGAGATGATTCGGGGACAAATGGCAGCTACTGTTCACATCTGCCAGGGCTGTTTTACTGTGTATAGTCAAAAAAGCATTAACATCACATTCAAAATTTCCAGATAACAAGTTGTCAGACAATAGACAGAAGATTCCTCATAAGTCCATGTTTTCTAGGCCTACATTTTCCTTTTTTATTTATCTGGAATGTAACCTATTTATACAAAACATTTTGGGGCCAAAATTTCAGTACTTTGAGCTCTTGTCAGTACATGTAAATTGGGAATTTTGAACTTTCTGTATCAGATTGCCTTCTACTCTCTAGGGGTCTATCTGAAAGGTGAACAGGAATAAATTCTCTCACACAAAAAACCTATGGGACAAATGTGAAGTCATCTCTACCTTTGTTCTTTGCTGGAGGTGGATTTTTGTGTCCATCAAAAACAACAACAACATGACATTAAGTGCTTTAATGGTTCCCAAACATCCTGCCATGTTTACTCCCTACAGTCCTGAATCCAGAGACTGACCCCAAAACGTTCCACACTTTTGTGAGTGTAAGCTCCAAACATTTATGCCCAAACCCCACCGCATACTATATTGTTTATTTTCCTTTTGAAAAACGTGACCCCCTTCCCCTGTTCGCAGTATCCATAAAAGAAGCTAGACCACATGTGTGCAACAGGTGGGTGAACTGGATTTCAAACCAACGAAATTTTCCTTTCACTTTGTTTTACATGTCATCAATCAAACTAAAAGAGGGGATGAGAAAACAGCGACTAAAACAATTTATCTACGCACCTATTCTTATTAGCTAAAATTTATAGAATAGAAACATGGTTTATAATTGCTTTTTAATACAAATGAATCAGGGTTTATTGCCGAATGACCAGAAACTATTCAATGATAGTTTGATGAGTTCTACAGCATAAAAACTGCACAAAAATGTTTGAAAAAAAAAGATAAATGTAACTTAGAACAGGAACGATATATGCTAAGAGAGAAAACCCATAAAATGGAACAAGTCTTTCCAACTGTGCAGGGCAGGGCTGGCAGTAATAAGACAAGTCCAAATGGACACCCATAATTTCACGCCCAGAGACAGGGACACATTTTCACAGCAAGCAGTCTGTTCCCCCAGGACTGTATACATTCAGGGGTCAAGACAGAAATCTTCCATAAATTCAGCTATAATGCATGCCAGGACACTCTTCTGTTGTAGTTTACTTCCGAACCCAATCTTTGTCATCGTCATTTTAGGCACTTCTGCTCTCAAGCATATCAGATCTGCCCCCTTATCGAAAGTTGGCAAACTTGAAGCAATATCTTTACATCATCTTGTTCACAAACTTTGGAATCTAATTGCAGTCTTTCTAACAAATGGTATAGAAGATGAAGTATCATTTTGTTTCTGTTGTCTTGGCTTATCGTAAGATAAATTTCTTTCTTAATTTCACCGTTTTAACCATTCAAATCTATCCCCATATAGAAAGTTGTCAACAACTATCTTGTCTACAAGCTTGAGAGTTCGTTGAAATAAACTGCAAACTATACTCTTGTATTCGAACAGACACTGGCAAAGATGAAGTAGCAATTTGCTCCTGTTTCCTTGGCTGATCCTTACGTACAGTTAAAAGAAGATGCCCGGAGGACTTAATAAAGGGCTAGACAGGAATGTCGGTAATCTTATCTGAGTTGCTTAGGGAGGAGTCCAGCAGACAAACGTATCAACCTAATTAATACTAATTATTCCCCTGAGATCAAACTGTAACGAACACAACAGACCAAAAAGGGAACAGTCCCGCCTCAACTTTTGTCATGTAAATTTCGCAAATTTTCTTGATAAGACAACGGCAAGTTGGTATATGTTGGTTATATATTGGAAAGGAAAACTTGGCAGTCTATACATAGTCACGATTCATTAAGGAAATGGAAAAATGAATTTTTAATTAGCCATTCAATTTAAAATGCAATTATATGGATTGCTATATGCTTTATCATGGAAATTATGGTCTGCCATAAGACCATTAGTTTAAGTGATTTTATATAGCTGTCACTACAAAACACCTGCGTTCTGTAGCAAACAGAGAAAAATCTCATTTGTCAAATATGTTTTAGTCATGCCATGTTTGATTAATAGAAAGCTTTGTTCTCTTATTACACGTAACAAGTACATGTTCCTCATGGTAGCATAGCCTTCCCTATTTCATAGAATGTTTTAATGTGCCCTGGAAAAAACTAAAAGTCCTGTAAAAAAATCCAAAATTCATGTTGAATTTGGACCTTTCCAAAAATGTTTAATCAGATTCAGAATTTCCTTACACAAAAGCTTTCCCCTCAAAAATGAAATTAATATTGATTCCTGACAGTCATGCTATTCTAGTAAATAGACAAAAGCAAATATGGCACCAATTAGAGAAAAAAAAAACTTACCTCCTTAGTACAATCACTTATGTACCCGGAAAATACAGTTGTACTTTTTTTTGCAAAGAAAATACAGTTTGAAAATTTGGGTTATACAGAAGTGATGGATTTCTTGCCCATGCCTGATTGTATCCTGACCATACAACAAATAAACTTTGTGCGAACCCAATCTGTAGGCTGCAAACAGGGAATTTGTCAGTCGATTGAGATAATTGCATACAACTGACCTGCGTCACCACATCCCATTATCACTGTATCAATCCCCCGTGTTTCAAATATTTCTCCCAGCCGCTCAAAATATCATAATGGGAATCGGGCCGACCGCGGGCGGGGAAGCGAATGCCAACCCTTAACGAGACATTTCCAGCTGATTCTCCCTTTTCTCCCAGGAGACTTCAAACGTGTCAGAACGTCTGGCCAAGGATGCAGCCAAGCGAGCACTATTGTAGATCCTGACCTCAAGTCTACCAAACCTTCTAACGTATTGAAATTGCTCAGTCGATTGCTTCCTAGTGGGTGTCTCAAGATCAATATGTCATATGGAGCTAATATACAGTCTAGAAAGTCCTTGGTGATATCTAAGTGGCTATAGCTCATTCACATACATTTCTGCAGCTGATAAAAACAACAAGGCAATCCAATATCCAGAGGGTAAACCGTATGTACTGCTTTCACTCAACGTCAATGTTTTTATAAGTAGTTACTCAATGATATTTCCCGCATCAGGCTGCTGCTACGTTACCTACTTTCTGCCGTCACTAGGAGTGGCACACTGATCAATAAGCAATCTTAAATGTCATAAACGTGCCTTGGTATAACCAACTACCAAGAATAAACAATGTTTACTGAGCATGTTGACATTTAGTTGACTAGTAATATTCTAACTTACAAAAAAATCAACAGTTTGAGATGAGAACCAACTAAATTCAAACCTCCTGCTCCACTGAAAGCATGTACACGGTGCCGGTATCAGTCAAACACGTGCACCACTTACCGCGGAGATCCTTTCTACAACACGAGACCACGCAAACAAAGACGCCGCTGCTACGCCATGCACCACGTCTTTAAGTGACAACTTGACCTCGCTTTCTTCAAAGACTCCTTCACCGATCCTTTCCGCTGCTTCAGGGGCTGACTATGTCATCCTTTCTTTTCTTGCCACGCGCTATCGAACTTTCGGAGTCACCCGCTACGTGCCATTCTTGTATTGTTTACCGATGTGTCTACCACCCTCGTACCTCCTCCAAAATTCCCCTTCTAATTTTCCAACTGTCGTGACATACTCCCTTCCGCTTTTTTTTTTGCTCCATTCTTGACCTCTCTACATTTGAGTGGGTGGCTTATAACCAAAGTCCAAAAGCAGACCACGAGAAAGTTCGAAGGGCATTTTTTGTGCTGTCTGTTACGCAACAACTGTAGAAACTGTAATGATAGTTTCAAACTTCGTCATGCCTTGTTAGTGTTGGGTTCCGGGGTGTAAGCAACCCCCTCTTCCACAGTTCTTCGGGAAATGAAAATACAAAAGCCTGCGTCACAGGTAACCCTTTTTCAATAATGTAAACTTTGTGATCTCCCGAGCGTGACACGTTGTTTACCTACGTAGAATCGCCCAAAACAGGATTACCTGCCACTTGATCTAAAGAAAAGTTTCTCCGAAATAACAAGACCCAGCAAACCCACCACAAGTAAATCACATTCACTGGATATACAGGGAAGGGCTAGATTTTATCTCATTGATAACCTATACCACAAGAAAGGGGAAAGTGGGAAAACCATTTCCTTTCTTTTCCTCCTTGCTTATTTTAGCAGCGAAGAGCGGGATAAAAAGGTTCAACCATGTGTGGAGAGGGAGACTGAATTAGGACACTACAAAAGGAGCGATTTGCCTAGAGATAAACCCAATTGGTAGAACACACAGCTGAAGATTACAGGCTTTGCCTGCCACTAATAACAGTGTTCTCCCTACCCCACATTTTCACCCAAAAACAAGAACATTGTCTTCACCCTTAACACACAATGAGAACAAAATGTCTAGCTTACGAATTTGATATGCCATACAGGAAACTGCCTTCTAAGTTGCAGAAAGTAAAAATAGTAACATTTTTCGGACGGATGATCTAGCTTTGCGAATGCATGCAAGTAGCCTCTATCCACCCGCATGGATACATGCTGGCGTTTTCTCTGGCATGTATTGGTCGGATCTGCCTGGGCTAAAAAACAACAGAAATGGTACACAACAAATACTACACTAGTGACACAAAATAAGCAGTCTCACCTTTAGGGGCAGGTGGTTCTCTTGTTGTGAAGGGTTCACCTGTAAAAAAGCAACAAACATTTGGTTAGAAGGTTTACCTTTTAAAAAATATCCAAACAGAAACAAAAAAGGAGGCATGAAGTGCAGAGGTCAGCATTTGTGGCTCGGAAGCGACTTGTTTTCGATAGATTCCAATCAGGACAGAGGCAATATTTACATTTTAACAGCAATGCAATTGCAAGCGCCATCCAAAAGGCAGTGAAGACAGCCCAAGCAGCATGGCACACTCTGAGGGGGCGCACCGTCCGTTTCATTCCGTCCTTCAAGTTTGTTAGAAACATTTTGCCAGAAATCCAACTCCCCAGCACGGTAATCCAATGGTCAGGAAGATAATGTCACTAGCGAGGTATATATTCCAGGGAAGGTCTCTTTCCTTTAGCTGCCAGCCATTCACAGAGAAGGTACAGTATACTGTGGCGCAACCCCAAGGCACACCAAGCCCCAATAAACATTACACACTCCAGTAAATACGGAAGATTCCACCCAGCAAACATATGCAGGGGTGAGCACAAAAAGGGGGCTGGGCAAATACTGCATATGAGATCCCCAAGGGTTACACTCTATGGCTTCATGCCTATTTCTTTCCTCATTAATATGTAAATATGCTAATGAGTATGCAAAGTAGGGTTTCATCAATCATTTTGTCACTAATTGTCATTCATGGTGGTCCTCATTGAGCTCATTTTCCAGCCTTCCAAGTGGGCCCCTGTAATTATTCTGACTGGCTTGGTAATCATTTTGTGCTCCGCTAAACTCCAAAGGCTCAGCTTGTCCACAGCAAATGCCATTTTATCGCATTTATATCTGTAACATGAAGAGGCTCATAATGATGGGGACAGCTTCATTAGCGAGGGCTTGAGACCAGTAGCCAACACCTGAGCTACTGATCACCATTATCTGTGACATAATAGCTGTCATATGCAAGGACGTTGTCATATGTTATGGTTGGTAGCTGATTTTCACGTGAGGGGCACGGGAAGAAAAAGTCATATCTTGTCAAGATTAATTTGTATTTTTCCGTATATACAACACAGTAGGGAGAAAAAGGATCTGTAATTTATCTTAATGTTAAAAGTAAACATCAAAATTCTCCCTTGAGATCAAGTACACTACATTTGCTTTATCTACATGAAGTCTATGGGCAAAGGGAATAAAGTTTATTAAGGTTCAAGAATATGACAGAAATGTATAGTATACTCTTAGAGTAGACCAGAATTCTTATAAACTGGACATAGTCCAATGAAATATTGTGGCATGGCCCAAGCCATCTCCGGTCCAAAGCTTGTGACAACGTCAATCGCCGTTTTGCTCACAATAAATATCTGATGTTTATGTTTGCAGGATCATCCATTCCCAAATAAACAGTCCACACTTGTGGCTATACAGATGACAAGCCCTTGTATGGACGGCCTTACACACTATATGTCCTATCTCCCTCTCAGCAATGCTCTTAATCCGCTGAGTCCATTCTTAGCCCACAAGTTAAGACTTCGCAATCGACATAAGCCTCCAATTGGTATGCAAGCGGTGTCCTGTGGTCAGGGAATGCTTACACATCCCTGCACACACATCGTACAGCCCCCGACTGCAGCTATCTGCTGATAATCTTTAAACAGTGTCCTGATTTGGGGAGGGGCAACGCTGATACAGGTGCGGCTGTGCAAAGGGGGTTAGGTGTATCCAACGCCCTGATCCCGCAAAACTCCACACACGTAAACTCCTAAATCCTCCCTGTTTTCTTTTCTCGGGGCCACAACACGACAAACCGGAAGTCCGAGAAATAAACCATCTCACGGGATAAAAGGAATAGGAAAGGAAGTATACAGCAGGAGATTTTCTTGTCTTTGTTTCTTGATCCTTACCCTCACCTAGAAAGAGGATATGACAAACAAGAAGCTGTAGGATCGCGAGCACGGTACATAACAGCCAAGTAGGCCCGACAAGGCATGAACAAGTGCCTGTATTCTTCATTATGAATCCCAAGAACTGCACAAAAGGAAATTCTATCTTCCACCCGAGCTCCTGGAGACCGCCCCCTCGAAGCATCTGCTCCTGGAGGGCACCAAAGGAGCCGACCAAGGCAAGACTTTGTGGTACCTACACGGGTGGCACTTTTGTTCCTTTCTCCACAACCTTTTGCACTATTGTTCATCCAAGCTTTGATGTCCCACATGTCCCAAATAAAACTTCTTCCTCTTTCTTCTTTTCTCTTGTATCATCACCATTAGCTGGTTACCTCCGGTTCCCTGTTGACATTAACAAGCATCGATGATCTACAATGATCTAATTGCCATTACAAACTGGCCCAAAGCACCAACCTTTTCATTCAGTCCATACCAATGGCAAATCGTTCTTATAGAGCCAAATCAGTCCTAATGGCATTTGGAACTAAAAATCAATGGAGATTCTGCCACATGCGAATACCATCCTCTAACATACATGTGCATAGTGCAAGGTGATTTTAAGGATATAATTCTTTCTGCACGTCCCTAGCGTTGACCTATGGCATCCACACAGTTCCCTTCCTTTGTGTAACTACGTACCATCTTTGACAATTACGAACAAGATGCCAGCAGCTTTCAAGGACTTTTGTGTAGGGTAAGAAAATGAGAACAACAACTTAAAACCCATAATTTTCCCCACAGTGGCTCCTTGCTGAACATCCGGCTCCTGTGTGGCTCCAACATGTTTGTCTGACATTCCTGCTTAGAAAGGCCCTGCCCTGAATTACTGTACAGTGTGCTGGGAACTGGAGAAGAAATTGTTCCCTTGTGCTCGCTGATCCCCAGAATTCCAGCTTCCTTTACCTTGGAGATTGTCCAACACGTTTTAACACTGCTTGAAAGTCCCCCCTTCATACATGTACAACAGCCCTGCTTGCTGGGAAAATACTAGAAATTGGGCAAAGAGAGTGAATAATTTCCCAGAAGAGTATGTCTGAGTCACAGAGATACAAATAGGTTACCACTGTGAGAGTAGTTCCTAGTTAGACATCTGCATCTACTTCAAGATTAGCCAGTACTAATGTGACATAAGCATGCAGTACTAACATAAACATGTACGACACATGCACACAGGTACTGAGTAAACTTCCTGAGATTTCAGGGCAGCATAATCCTGTCTGTGATGCTAATGCCGTAACTGTCATTAACTTCTTGAAAATCTCCCAGCTCGCCTATGTTGGAGTGCACTGGCACCACATATCGATACACTGCCCTTTCATGTAATTTGCTTGTCATCTGTTCACTTGTGCCATAACTTAACTTTGTGGGCAACATGAAAAGACTTCCAATCATGTACAGCAACAAGATATTTCTACCATCATTTACCATCCATACATTTCCAAAATGTATATTCATTTAATGCTCTGTTCAGTGCTGATCTCCCATTACCGTTTTTGAGTTACTCGACCACGACTGTTTACACCTGGTTGCCTGGCAACTTGCTATGGCAACCAGAACCAAGAGAAAGTACGTTTCTTTACCAGATGCAGTTAGCATTTCAGTGTTTGTAGACAGCCAGCACCGTTTATTCCATCAAAAACAATGATACTGATGACGTGCAATTTGCTCCTCTTACAGTAAACCATGCTTACAAAGAGGAGCCTATTGCTATGGAGACAGTGAATTAAAGGTTGATTGGAATCGTGAGTGAACCATTATATTGTCACGACATCAAGAGCGGGACTTAAGGGCCCTTCTGACAAGTTCTGATGAGTAGTGGGTCACTTGACTCATGGATTATCCAGATTATATCCCACCCAAGAAGAGGATTGTTTCTATTTTGGCTTGAGAGGAGAGTATTCGAAAATAGAAAGAAAAGCTAACAGTCAGATTACCTGGATATACATTCACATGATATTTATAACGTACATGTATAACTGCTCGCCTCCTAAGCTAGCTCTATGAGCCATGCTTTTTGGGAGCTTAGAATATGCTCTCTTTCTGTTGGTATGCCAACCCCTGCTGCGCAATACAAAGTTTTTTATCATTTCTGAGATTCGCAAGTCTTTTTTTCTAACCTTAGAGGTCAGGAGTCAAGGCCAAGTCACAGTGTGGGTGTTTGTCCTGACATTATTTAGAAATATTTTCAAACATTCCTCATTGTTTATGTAAGATTTATGTTAGTTTTAAAACACTTGCACCTCTGGCACCCCTGTCCACTTTGTCCACCTTGTGTTCTGTTACATCCCTCTTCTCTTGTCTAGAAGTCTCAAACATATCCTGTCCACTCACTGATAAAACAAATACTGTAAATGCATTTACTTTTGCAGTGGTTTCATTTCACGGCATAGGAGGGAAAATGAAATTGATAGGTTTTCAGATTGCTCAAAGTATACGGTTGAAACAGTTCTATATTACAACAGAAAAACAAAATACGCATAAGAGGTGTCATGCGTTTGTGTTAGAGGACACCCCAAAAATTAAGATACTGCGATTTACAGTAATGCAGAGCAGTTGCTACAGCATCAGGCCTCTACACTGTCCACCTGTCATGCTCAGTGTCCTGTTACTTCCCCCCTTCCTCCACTCATTCTGCCTCATTAACAGTAGCGGTGACAGCCTCAGAAGTAACACACAAGGACAGTTATGTACCCAGAATGAATAACACGATACTCGGGTCATTGTCTAGATGTGACAGGAATACAAAGCTAGGGCGGGGTGTGTCTTGCAGCCTTGAGACATACACATGTTTTTTTTCGTATTTAGGCATGGATGAAAAACATTTTTTAAGGACCTTGTTAGAAAATGTTCGTCCAATTTGCCAGTACTTCACTACTGCATACATTGAATCAGACGTCATAACCAGACGTCATAACCCACATTTCAAGTAGCACAAGTGGACAATTACAAATGTTTACCACGTCAGTGAGAGCTATATTTAGTACTGACTTATATATGTATGATTCTTAAGAACTTCTTGAACACTAAGTGAAGGACGTATGATGAGATTGAGAACATAGGAAAACTCTACATGAATTCAAGATCTGAATCACAATC